CAAAGCCTGACTGCGGCCGCTGCTCGGGGCGGCTTTCCTGTGCCCCCTTTCCAGCTGCCGCCGGGAAAGGGCTCTGCCTGCCTTGGCTGTGAATGGAGGAGGGGGAGGGCTGGGGCACCCGCTTCCCCCGTAGTAAACACTATTCTGAAACAGTGGCAGAAAAGATCAAAGTGAGCTCTCTATTTCTCTCCTCTCTAGTTCCCTTCCTGCCCCCCACACGGTCTTTTGTTTCAGTCCAGGAGAAATCCGGTGAATCACCTAATTAAAACCAAGACATGAATTAAGCATCCATTTTTGTAGTACAAATTGCCAGCTCTCTGCCTGTCCCTCCCTTGGTCTCCATTAAAAAAACACCAGAGACGCTGTTAAAAAGGGGGGTTATTTTGCCTCTAGCTTCTAGCTCTGCTTTCTATTTCACTGACTCCTATCCCAGGACCTAAATTGCTTGGCTGTGTAATTACTAGAGTAAGCCTATTTAAGTTAAAAGCTTTTCTCCCCCCAACTCTAAATGAAACTTGATGAGGGCCCGTCCTTAGTTATCAAGGGAGTCACTTTCTGGTCAGTCCTCTTGATTCATCTTTTTAGATTTAATCAGCATTAAGGTATTGCTTGTCCTTAAGAGCTTTAGCTTAATGGGGTTACTGGATGATTTTCTCAGTGTAACGTTTCCCATTTTATATTTATATATATATTTGCCTTTTACAAAGACAGGCTAAGGTGGTGGTAGGGAGTCTTTTTCTTTTTTTTAAGAAATCCGAAGTGATTTAAAGCGTAGGGAAACGGTTTAAAGACTCAGAGCAGGAAATGCAGATTCATTTAGGCTGTAGCTGGAAACTAACAAAAGGCAATTCCTTGAACAAATGCATCAGAAATCAATTTACATAAAGGTATATGATGCGTTCGGATAAATGCAATGCTAATGGCTTTTAGAGTGGTTTTCTTTCCAAGTCTCGGGGTTTTTGTTACAGCTTAATTGGTGCAGTTCTTCTGGTTTATTGTGCGGTCACTGGACATACCTCCAGGTACTCTTTCTGAGGAAATGTGTGTTTAAGATCGGCCTCAGTTCTCCTGCAGCCAAGTTGGGCCAGTGGCAGGAAAAGTTCGTCCTCGCTGCTCTGGAGGTATCAGCCTGAAGGTCCTTAGTAGATAGCCAGATGCCTCGGCATGAGCACTCACGGCTTACAAGGGACAAAGACAAAACATGCTGCTTAATTGGCAGTAAATAACTTGATCTTTTTATAGTATAAGTGACTAGAGGAACACCGGGAGTTTATTGGGCTCTGGATTGAAGGCAACAAATTAATCGGTTTAGAGTAAGCTTTATGAATTGATTCCTATATTATCTCTCGGTTGTCCTGCTTGCATAAAGCATTTATTAGAAAGTGAAAAATGCCTTTGGTGGCAGTTTTGGGGGACGGACAGAGTAACTGTACCCAGAGCGGTGCGCTTCGTTTTTCTGCTGCTTTCCTATGGTTGGTAAACTTTTGTACTTTTTCCTTTTTTTTTTTCCTCCTCTCCCCCCTGGGTAACAAAGCTTTAGCATTTAAACTGCTGATCAAGGGCAGATTAGCGAGACAAAAGTTGAGTATGTTTGTGTAGGAAGTTAACAGGCGTCCTAAAGTTCAATGATCTATTATTCGGGCCAGTGTCCTCAATCTGGAGTGTTTTCTCTGCATGTTTTTATGTCTCCAAAATAAACTAAAAAAAGACTTAAAAACCCCACAGCTCCGGCCGGTGGGTCCCGAGCCCCTCGTTGCCGCCCCGAGCCTGCAGAGTCTGTCCTGGACTGAAAAACCAGTTTCACAACTTTTTTTTTTTTTTTTTTTTTCACTTTCATCACCCTTTTTTTTTTT